TCTTTCTAAGAATTGAAAAAGGCATATTAAATTGTTTGTTTTAAGATATTATTGATTTTATTGATTCATTAAAACTTCGTTATTAGATTTTAAAGGGAGCTTTCTAGACTTGTATGTATAGTTCTATTTTTATTTGTATATATCTTTATGTCACTATAATTGTCTAGGGACTAGGGGGTTTGGCAATTACTTGATTCTCCCGGAAGATCTTTTATAGCTTTGCTTCTCTTTCTAACATTCTGGCTTCCTTTTGTTTTTGTTAGGTAAATTTGATGACGACCCCATAAAGAATAAAAATATCATTATCGTGAGATTTGTTTGTATCAAAAAATTAATAATACATATAAGTTAGAAATTAATGTTTCAGCTAGCAGATATGTGTCAAATGGATTTTTCAAATGATTCGATGTTTGATTGGACTTGATATCATCTATATATTATATGTATAGTAGGCCATATCATTCTCTGTCAAAACGTCTACAAAATTGTTCAAAATGTAGAACATGTAAATGATTTCATTTTCTAATTTATGTTTGTTTATGTTGAATCGTAACACTTTAGAAGAATGATATGTCAAACGTATTTTTATGGCTCTGTTGATAGAATAGAATGCTCAAGGCTTTTACAAGAAAACTGCAATTCAAATTTAACGAGTTAAATTGTGAAAATAAAAAAGTATAACGAAACTACTATATCTTCAAATTATAATTAATACTTAAACGTTATAGAAACGTCGTCTTCCAAAACAACTACTGTATTTGAAGTGTGATTTATACAAAGAGAACAAATAATGATTAATCATCATGGACAGGCTAGGATTGGACATATCAGTTGAATTTCAAAACTGAAATAAATTTCTCTTAAAAAAAAAAATCGAACAGGAAAATGAAGTTACATCGGAGAGCGCATGTTAGAATTCAGAAGCCACATGACCAATGATGCTCTCCTGAATCATATAATTGAGATATAAATGTATTTTCATGCATTCAGTGACTTTGGTATATGACATAAATGCGCTCCAGATATATACGCTGATCTTGGTGATGAGCATAATATATATTTATATAAAAAAAGTGATTATTCGAAATTTTGGCATTGCTTGCGACAGAAAATACATTTATATAGAATCCGTTAATTCTCGGAGCATTGTAGAATTATCACCTCTCTCGATTTATACAATAAACTCTGCTATTACCACAACTCTTTCCGTAGGAATATTTTTTTTACTGGATGAGTTGATGAGAAGTTGGATTTCGAAATATATTGTATCAACATTCAAATTTGATCGTGGTTAGTTTTATTAACATAACTGACTAATAGTTTAATTCAGTTAGTTGTTACTTGTTCGTTACAAATTCTTTAGCTTAGCTAAATAATTTGGTGGCTATATATTCATTCGAACAGACACATTATACAAGTTAATAAGAGATATCTTTCTTTAAGGTCTTTTCGTTTTCTTCCTCTTCTTTCGTACATTTTTGTTATTAGATTTGATTTTCTTTTTGTCAACATAAAAATTAGTATATTCTTAACATTTAGACCCAAAAAAAAACATAAAAATTATACTAGTATTAGATGTTCAAACCTTCGAGATAGCCCGAAAAAAATACAGACCTATCACCTAGGAGTATAAAAGAAATATTAATACCTCTCCCCAAGGCCGTGGCCAACATGCAATATAAATGATAATTGGTTATAGTGGTAAGCATCTCATAACTTATTGGGATTTGTAATTTCTTAAAAGTGAGTTGCATAAACGCGAAGCAAGGAAAGACCTTTCTAACTTCTATTTAACTCAACTAATATTTTTCTATATTATCTATATATATTTCTCAAAACTTCCACTATAAGAAAACAGTCAACTAATGACTACTGAAATAGTCGCTAAATAGTCACACATACGATTGTTACGACTATTTAGCGACTAAAATAAAAAGTTACCGATTTTGAGTTACAAAATCAAACAGTCATATATTAGTCGTAAATTTGCGACTATTTTACGACGAAAAAGCAAGTTCAGTATTTGGTTGCTAAATAGTCAAAAAATAGTCATAAAATGTAGTGACTAATTTACGACTAACCTAGTGACCATACACCGACTAAGTTGCGACTAAAATGTGCGACTACTACGAAACTATTTAGTGACAAATATAACGACTAATTTAGCCACTAATCGAACTTTTAAAACGTAGAATTATAATCTAGTTGCGACTATTTTGTCACTATCTTGCAACCTTTTGTGACTAATATATGACTAATTAATGACTTATTTGTTTTTAAAATTTGGAATTGTTATTTGGTTTGATACGCAAATTACTAATTTGGTTCATTATTAATACTAGTTCTTTAGAATAACAAATATACAAAATGCAAAATAATTTATAACATAGTTATCAACCAGTTTATACAAACCGAAACTCCAAGAGTGGAGTTACCAAAACATAAAAACATTAAGTCTACAGCATTTGTTTACAAACCAAAACTCCCAACAATGGAGTTACCAAAACATAAAACCATTAAGTCTTCAGTACAAAGGCTACAACAGCAGTAAATTAAGAAAGAAGTAGAGAGGGAGCTGTGTTTTGGGTCGAACCTGCATTTGATGGAGCCGCTTGAGAAGCCATGAAGTCTACAAACTCTGGATTAGTTGCGCGCAGGAACTTCTCCACCAAGGACAAGCGCTGGATCTCCTTTTGTTGCTCAGCCAATTTTCGCGAACTCTCTGCTTCACGGGCAGCAGTCTCGGCATCACGTTGAGTATTATAAGCGACCTGCTCTTCTATCTTACGTTTAGCTTCTTCTAGTTGTTGTTCCAGTGTCACAAAGCATGAAGAGCTTCCTGGGTGCATACGCTTGCCGTTGACATGAGAATGATTAAGGCTTCCAAAGCCATAAGGACGTCCTCTTTTATCCCTGAAAGTGGACTGCCAAAAGAAAACAAGTTATAATGTACACTGTGTAAGATATATAATAGACTATGAAAAATGAAACAAGTTAGTAAAGAATGTATATTTACCAGCAGAAATAGCTCGTTGTACACATCTATGGAGAGATCGTGAGGTTGAGGATCACCATTCAAAGTTTCTGAATTATGTGGCTCGAGCTCGGACAACTTAGCTTTGACATTGTTCTCATAAATTTCAGCGATCTTCTTGGCTTTTACATCGACAAAGGTCCCATCCGGTTTTGTATGGGTCTTGATAAAAACCTCACCAATGCCCACTGGTCTTCCCAACTCTTCTTCCTGAAATTTTATATAATGAAAAGACTTTAAATTTGCAGAAGTTAAATATATAGAAATTGTAGATATGTAAATGTAAATTACCATTTCCTGTTGGATTTGTAGATACAACTTCTGGCCAGATAAGTGTATGTGAGGACCAAGTCCTTTGCGGTCGGACTTACGAGCTTTAGAATAGGTTTTGCTCCTTTTTTTTTGCTAATTCTGTCTCCCACTCGGTGGTCATCTGTGTCCAGAGTGTTTGCTCAATCCAATTGGGTCGTTTTCTGGTAGTGCGCACAGTGCTAACCATGCCCTTCATCCGACGTTGACATATCTTCTCAAACTGCCTTTGAACTGTCCCTGAGATTAAGAGATCCCATGTGTGGGTTTTCTACATTTCGCATACATGAGATTGATTAGTGAAAACAATAAAAGCAAACACATATATAGGAAATTAAGAGGAGAGAAACCATTACCGTGAACTCAATGAAAAATCTTTCTTGTCTGTCCCGATGCACAACTTTCCAGCTATAATAGGAACCATCAAATTTGTTTGTAAAGACTTTAGTAATCTCTCGGACCAATGATCATTTGTCACGACCAAACCTTTAAACAAAAAACAATTTGTAAATAGTAAGCAAATAAGTGAATAAAAGAAATCAAGTAACGAGACCATATACTTATAAGCAAACAAACACTCATTAGCAGAAGCACTAAAATGATACATGAAACGTATCAGATTGTTTTACAGCAATAAGCATAGAAACAGAGACAGTTAATAACAAACAAGTAAGTAATCTTAAACGAACATATATACCTTATACGAGCAGAGCACACATAATCCCATATCTAAAAATCAAACTACATATCTACAAAAACACTTCATATATACCTTAAACGAACATATCAAATATTAGCCAAGAACATATGCAGAGAAGAACAAAATCATATGCCAAGAATTGCAATTTCAAACCAAATTTCCCTTAGACTACAAAACAAATCAAATTGATTTAACTCTTACAACTACAGAACATATGCCAGAGAAGAACATAAGCATATGACAATCGTTGAACTAAAACAAATCAATCGTTGAACAATTGCTCCTACGAGCTAAATACTACGGATTGCTCTTGGTCGCTTTGAAGCAATAGTCAAATGCAAAACAATACAGATCAGAGCATTAACCAAATTTAGTATCAATTTCCCTTATACTACAAAACGAATCAAATCGATTTAACTCTTACACTACATAACATACGCAGAGAAGAACAAAAGCATATGACAAATCATAAATCGCAGATTAAGAAACTATGACTCGGACTCAATTGCAATAAAACTTAGACTCAAACTGATTAAAAAATGGAAAGGGTAAAGGTTCATACCAAGTTGTGTTTGGCTTCCTTTCAGGAGATAGCATGGTGGTAAATTTTTCACGGCCTGGCACCAGAAGGATAGAATTCAGAAGACACCGTAGGTCTTCCTGGAGAACCGGCTCAGCTGGAGGTACTTCATCGTCGTCTTCACCGTTGTCTTCACCGTCGTCTTCACCGTCGTCTTCACCATCGTCTTCACCATCGTCTTCACCGTCATCTTCGCAATGGATGTTGTGAGATGTCGAAGATCGATTGCTCTGAGCTCGAGAGTGATGATGTGTTGACACTGGAGGGGGCTGAAGTGGAGGCGAACGAGGGTTCTGATTTTGAAGCGATGAGGAGCTTCCGATGTCGCGGTGTTGTGATTGAGAATCGTGGAAAAGTTGTTGGGGCGGAGGAAAGTCTCAGAAATGTGGCTGAGGTGAGTAGATGGGGACTTGAGGTTGGGGCATCTCGGTTACCAGAGGTTGGGACGATGGCGTGAAGTAGTATTGGCTTGGTAGAGGGGTGGGAGTTCTCGACGGTGTGGATCCTCCTGGTCTCTGAGATATGTTTGGAGCGGCTAGTCTCGGAGCACCGCGACGTCTAAGCTTGCCTCGTCCTTGGTTCTTCATCGGTGAAATCGATTTGGGAGTGGATGGTTTGAGTTTCCAAATTGAGAGACAAAGATAGAATATAGATTTCGAGAATAATATGGAAAGAGAGATTCGAGAATCGAGAATCGTGGTTAAGGAGAAGAGAAGAAGAATGGCAGGTTGTCTCTGAAACACAATTAGAGAGGATTTGGGAATTAGGGTTCTTAATCGGCAAAGAGAAGAAAGAAGCGAAGAAGAGAGTGACGGGTTAGTGAGGTATTAGGTATTTGGTTTTTGAAAATTTTGGTTTAGGCATAAATTTGGGTTTTGGATTTGGTTTTAGGGGGAAACCAAATTTTGATGAAATTTGGGTTTGGAATTTTGGTTTTGGTTTTAGGGGAAAATCAAAATTTAGGTTTGGGTAAATCTGATTTTGGTTTTAAATTTTGGTTTTGGTTTAGAAAAATAGTTTTCAAATGAAATTTGATATTTAATTTTCAAAAAAAAAACTTTGTTATTAATATATAGAAGTATAAATAGATTTGCTAAAATTTTAATTTTGTTTAAGCTTCGATTATAATATAGTTTTAAATAATTTTAATTTTTGTTTTAAATTTTGATGTTGGTTTTCAAACACTTAATAAAATTTTTAATTTTTGTTTAGAATAAAATATTAAATCTTAAAATTTTACAAAGTTAAAATATTTATTACACAAAGTGATAGCAAAATTAGTAAATTTCGTCTTCACTATCATCATGATCAGATGATGATTCATTACATTAAAATTCATCTTCATTTTCTGCATCTCCAACATCATAATCGAGATCTATTGGGTTCACCTCTTGTACCAAATTTCCGACTTCAATATTGTCAATTGTAGTCAAAAGTACAGCATCATCATTTTCTTGTTGCAAAACAATTGGTTCCTTATTTTTGTATTCTCCTGAAATATTTTCCCTCGGATTCACCTTTACAACATTGAGCCACGAGTGCTTTGGTTTCTTTGTATATGGGTACGGGACGTAACAAACTTGATTCGCTTGAGAAGCTGTGTAATATCAATATATAAAAATATAAATATAAATATATATATATATATATTGACATTTATGTATCCGTACTTAGAATAAATGGTTCGTATTTATTGTATTTTCTTGATGAACGAACATCAATTCCACCATTGCTCTTCCGAGTGCCTCTACCAATAACAGGATCATACCATGTACACTTAAAAAGTGTGATTTTCAAACCAACTATCCCCTCATATTCAAGTTGTATGATATCAGTTAAAGTCCCGTAGAAATCAGCTTCATCAAATGCATTAGTATAATTCTCTCCTTTAACACATACGCCATAGTTACATGTCTTTTGTCCCTCGCTGTGATTCTGCGTATGAAACAAATATCCTCTTGTGAAATAGATAGGCCAGGTTTTGGCCTTATTCACGGGTCCATGCACTATCTCTTTAACCCAAGCAGGAAATGAATTTGTGGCGCTCCAGTAATTGACCTGCATATAGCTATTCATTATCAATATATAGAAGTATACATACATACAAATATATACATGGATGTGAATATTATTTAGACATACATAATCTTTCACCCATGCACTATATTCGTCAGCTCTTTTCGCGGAGAGTTCTTTTTCAGAGAGTTCTGGATATTTTGCAGAAATATAAGCTTCGAACATACTGTATAAGACCAACACATATGAAAAATCATCATAGTGGATTATAGTAAAACGTAAGTGAAAACATGCGAAATTATATCTCTCAAATGGCTGAAAATAATCACAATTTAGCAAAACATATGCATGTGCACATCGATAGTCGTTTTCTGAAAGCCATATTTCATGCATTTCCCCACTTGGTCGACCTATGTGAGTAAATATATCAGGTACTCCAGGGACATGATATACGGGAACTTCACCTTCGTCGAATCTTGTTAGCCTAACCAAATGTGTCAAAAGTAATTCACATTAGAATATATACCACATGTGTCTTGAAATTTGATTAATTTAAACATTTACCTTGATTTCGTTTGTATATATGCGGCAAAGTAGTGCTCTGAGAAATAAGCTACCTCGTCATTGATATATGATTCAACAATCGATCCTGCTGCATATCTTTTGTTTTTTGCTTTCCCTTTCAACTTCTTGAAAAACCTTTCAAAAGGATACATCCACTTATATTGCACAGGGCCTCTTAGTTCAGCTTCGTAGGGGAGATGTATAGGCAAGTGCTCCATCACGTCGAAGAATGATGGTGGAAAGATCTTTTCCAAATTGCATATGATTAAAACTATATTCTGTTTTAGAAGTTGGACGTGACTTTTTTGCAAAGTTCTCGAACATAAGTCACAGAAAAATCCTCCAACTCCTACATTATATATTCAAACAGTAAGTTAATAAGTTAATGATTACTTTAATATGATATGAGGTATATTTAAATGTTGCATCTTTCATAGAGCTATAAGTAATTGGTACCTGATAATGCAAGGTGGACGTTCCGGTCTAGGAGTTCTGTAAAGATAAATGGTAGTAGACGCTCCATAAAAACATGGCAATCATGGCTCTTCATGCCTGAAAACTTTCCGTTAACCATATCAGCACAACTAGCTAAGTCTGACGCATAACCATCTGGGAATTTAACCGCATGTTTCACACACTCCAATAAACTTGTTCTGGCTTCTTCTGTCAATGTGAATACGGGGAAATGAGCTTTACCATCACTATCAATATGTAAGTCTGGTCGAGAACAGAATCGTTCTATATCCCTTCGTGACATGATGGTGTCTTTTGATTTACCTTTCACACTCATAAGAGTATTCATGATGTTGTCAAAAAAATTCTTCTCTATATGCATCACATCAAGGTTATGTCGAAGATTGAGGTCCTTCCAGTACGGCAGCTCCCAGAATATGCTTTCTTTATGCCAGTTATGCCAATTCCCATAGCCAGTCTTCTTCTTTTCATGACCATTTCCACCACAATTTTTGGTCTTTGGTGGATTAACACCATTTAACCGCTCATAGTAAACTTGCTCACCTGTCAAAGACTCAGGTGGATCCTTATTCAAAGCGTGTTTTCCTTTCAAGAAATCCTTTTTATTCTTCCTCAGTGGATGATCTTGAGGAAGAAATCTCCGATGACAATCAAACCAACACGTCTTCCTTCCATTAGGGAGATAAAATGACTATGTATCTTCCATGCAAATTGGACAAGACAATTTACCATGAGTCGTCCATCCTGATAATATGCCATAAGCCGAAAAGTCGCTTATCGTCCACATAAGCACTGCTTTCAAGTTAAAATTTTGATTCAAGGATACATCGTATGCATCGACTCCAGTATACCACAATTCTTTTAACTCGTCAATAAGAGGTCGGAGGAAGATATCCAGACTAGCTCGCGGATGATTTGGCCCAGAGTTCAGAATTGTTAGAAACAAATACTCTGTATTCATGCACATACCAATGGGTAAATTATACGGAGTCAAGATCACAGGCCATAATGAATGATTACAAGACATGCCAAAAGGATTGAATCCATCTGTACATAATCCAAGATAAACATTACGGGGTTCTTCGGCAAACTGGAGATGTAGGTCTTGAAAATATTTCTACTCTGATGCATCAGACGGATGACACATTTCTCCCTCCTTTGCTTTGTGCTCAGCATGCCATCTCATAGCCGCTGCGGTCTTCTTGTTCTGATACATTCTTTTCAATCTATCAGTAATTGGTAGATACCACATACGACTAAATGGAACTTTGGTTCTCCATCATCCGTTGTTCGGCTTCCATCTTGGTGCATCACAGAACTGACATTTATCCCACTTTTCATCCTCTTTCCAGAAGATCATACAATTATTAATACAAACATCAATTGTATAATATGGTAGGCCTAAATTGCGTATCAATTTTTCTGTCTCGTAATGTGAACTGGTTGACTGGTTTCCATCTGGTAAATACTCTGTCAACATATCGCAAATTGAATCCACGCACTTTTCACTCATGTTATAATCTGTCTTATTTTGCATGACTCGAGCAGCTAAGGATAACTGCGAGTGACCTTCGTGACAACCATCGTATAATAGATTTTTTGCTCCTTCTAACAAGTCGTAGAATTTTTGGGAATGGTTATGTATCGGTTCTTCTATATTTTGATAATTATCATACTGATGATAGTTATCAAAATACTCGGTATCACGAAATGCATCATTCACCATATCTACATATCTATCTTCTAATACATTACCCACTTCTTCACTACCACTTATTTCAGTTGTATTAACATAACTCGTTCCTAAATCCATATTGATTTCTTCTCCATGCTTATACCAAATATAATAATCTGGCATAAATCCTCTACTATACAGATGATTCCAAAATTTTTTGCCCGAGATAAATTTGTTGTTTTTGCAACCACTACAAGGACAATAAAACTTACCCCTATTGCTCTGCGCTAGAGGCTGGTTATTTGCAAATGCCATAAATTGATCGACCCCCATTTCGAATTCTGCCGAAAAGTTTCTCGTCTCTTCATCTATCCTTTTATACATCCACTCCCGACCATTACTATAATTGTAATTATCCGACATTATATAAAAAGTAAAAAAGTTTATCACTCTTTTTTTTGACAAATCACTCTTATACAGATAATAAAAATTACTCTCTCTCTTGATTTTTTTATCAAATATTCTCTCTTTTTTTCTACTAAAAATATAAAAATATATTCGCTTTCCCATTTTTTTTTATCAAGCACATTCTGAATAATTTATATGCAATGAGAATGGTGGATAGTACATATATATAGAAATATGTACGACTACAAAGCGACTATATTTCGACTACATGGAAAATCACATAGACCACATAACGCAGAAAACATGTTTTACCGGTTTTTATATCGGTAAAGAGTACGACTATTTTGTGACTATATTGCGACCACATGACGAGTTAGTCGCAAACTTTGTCGACATACCATGTAGTCATCATGTAGTCGCAAATCTACGACTATTTTGCAACTAATATTTAGCGATCTTACATAGTTAGTCGCAACTTAGTCGCAATCCCTGTCGACATACTCTATAGTTGTAATATAGTCGCAACTCATACAACTATTTTGCGACTAATATTTAGCGTCCATTTATTAGTCGCTACTTAGTCGTAAATCTACGACTATTTTATTACTACATTACGTAGTCTCTAATTAGCAACTATGTTGAGACTATATGTTTATAATCGCAATATTTGTTGCTAAATAGTCGTGAAGTAGTCATTTATTTTTGTGACTATCGTTTTAGTCGCACCTTGTAGTCGCAAACTGACTGTTTTCTTTCGGTTCGACTATGTTAATAAATTCATAGTTCATTTTATTTAGTGTTTTTCGTCTACATCATCACTATGAATTTCGGAAAGCCTTTTTTGTAATCCGAACATCTTCGTTATTTGATGAAAATTTGATGATTAAATCACTCATAAAAACTTATGGTCGGATTAAATACTAAATTAACGATATGTGATTGGTGTAACTTCGTTATTCTATATTTATATGAAGCAGAAACATGTTCGTGTTCCTGGATGTGAGTTTCTTTTTGTATCACAAGTGTGATGAAGATAAATATAAGCCAAAAGATTAAGAGCTTTCAACTCAAGAAACATCACGTATTGGTGATTTGGTGAATCTTACCAAATGTCATCATCAATATAAAAAATGGACCATGTTTCCTTTGATCGTTTATAGCATCCAAAATAGTAGAAATGGCTCTTCGCCTCCGATCCGTATCTAATATTACGAGCCAAACAAAGGCAGAAACATGGTCCATAAAAGATTGACCCATAGGCCTCCAAGTTGGTTTTCACAATACTACTAAGAGGCTCGACCACACGCATCGAGTTTCCACGACTAATATGTTATACGTATGCATCACAAATTGTCTTGCACAGTAATCGAAGACGTTTATCACTGATGTATGACTCTTCTCCCAAACTAGTCATTCAGAACATACGCTACAATATCAGGCGGTAATTAATTTACGGATAGTGTTTTGATGTAACCTTATACATTATGTGCAATTTTCTTTTGAGATTTGATTAATTTCCAAGAGAATTGTTTTCTTCTTAATTTTTTTTATTACTTATTTCTTGAATATACATTGTTTTCAGTTTTAATGGTAGGGGTAAAACTACTGGTCCACAGTCTATGTTTCCATGTGTGTGGATAAGATAGAAAGCAGAAGCAGTCAAATCTTTTGATTGGGGTCCATTCTCTCTTAGGACACAAGGAAGAACTCAACTTGTTTTGTTTTTTCTTCACTTGTTCACACACATAGATATTCGCCGTCCACAGCTTAAAAACCTTTTTTATATTATCTAACACACTTAATTATTTTTATTTTTTCGATTATAATTTCTTCATCTCCTTGTGAGCCTGTTCCCAAAAAGCCTAAGAATATAATCCATATATGGGACATCTATCCTAGCTAGAATTATGTCTTTTTCGCTTCTACATATGATAGTACACATTACACAACATAATAACATAGATCATGTCATAAAACTACCCAAAACATGTAGTACAATTTTACACACACAAAAGAAGAAATCAAAGGGGAAAAAAAAATAAGTTAACACATTAAACATCATCAAATATAATCCAAGCCCAATTTCTGTCTCATTCTCTCATGAAAAAGAAGATATATATGTACATGCAAAAAAGAGAGACAAAAATAGATAACTTACATATATATTGGAAGGTCTCTTTCTATATATATGTAATATATAAATATAAGATATATATATATAAAGTTATAGCTATGATCGATCAATGCTCTTGCTTGAAGAAGATGGAAGGAAATATCTCCTTCAAGAGCTCGTATTCACCTCCTTGGTGTGAATTAGGGTTGACATTCATACTACCGTAACCATTCTGTCCATATCCGTAATCCAAAGCCGCCGCTCCAGCACCGTCGCTAGTGTAAGCTGAAGTTCGAAACATATCATGTGTAAAGCTTCTCGGAGCCATGAAGTCGGCAGAGTACATAGCAGCCGCGGCGGAACTTCCCCGGAGATTAGTCGGGATCGGATGGTTGTGTTGACCCTCGTAAGTTGTAATCACAACCGTTGGATCTTGGAACGATCTCTCCACTCGTTTCTTCACGTTGCACCGTTGCGTCGTGCATCTATAGTAACTCCTATTTTCGTTTGCATTTGAGATTATTAGTTACAATACATTGATAAGAAACAAAAAAAAAAAAATTTATTATAGGATATATGCAAATGCAGAAGAAAAAATAAATGAATTTACCTTGGATAGGGACTGTTCTTGACGGCCTTTTGGCCGTATTTTCTCCATCTATAGCCATCTTCAAGATGATCAACTTCGCTTTTAGTCAGAAACGAGACTCGTGGCTCTCTTTGTTTCTTCTCCTCGTTCTTTTTTGTTTTCCCTCTGAAATCATACATTTCTAAAATTAATGCACACATACTATTTTTTTTAACATACTAGAAATTTTTTTTTTTTGGAGTCTAATACTAGCTTTTTTTTTTTTTAAATGAGGGGGTCATTTGATATTCCATATTATTTCATCAAAAAATTACTATGTAATAGACTTACACTTTTTTGGAACTTTGATCGTCTTCGCCTCCATCTCCAACTAACTCTCGTTTCCTCTGGCTCTTACCGGAATCTATGCCGGGATGATCAGCCTCACTCGAGGAAGAAGATACAGAAACCCTAGTTGGAGTCTCACCGATAACGTCATTAGTAGCATCGCGGTTCGATTCTTGATCGATCGAAGAGTTGAAAACCTCTGAAGAAGAGGGAGAAATCCCGAAATTTTTCTTGAGTAGAGAGTCGTACGCTCCTGGAGAGCTTTGGAGGCAATCGGTGAAAGAGTAAGAAGATGGATCGAAATCGTTGTTTCCATAAGAAGGTGGAGTTGAAGTAGGGAGATTCATCATTTCGTACAAAGAGAACGATGAAGGGTATTGGTAGTTGTAGAGATCTTTGGTTTCGTAAGACATGGTGAAGAACAATGAAGAGAAGAAAAGCTAAAGAAGATAAAGAAGAAGAGAGAAGAAAGGCCTTTTAGGTTTGGGGATTAGGTTTTTTTCCTAAGAGGTCTAGATTGGTGCTTGGACTTTAATTGAGTCTTCGTCTCTCTTTCTCGTATTTATGCATTTTGAAACTCAAAAAAGAAAGAGAGAGAAAGATAGTGATGAATAAAATATGCTTTTGGCTTAATTGATTTGGGAAGGAGTTAATTGAGTAAAACTATAATGGGATATAATACAATCGTACGTGTGTGAATCCATAGTTATATGTTTATACTTTTACTTTTACTGTTAACTTTTGTTTTAAAAGATTTCTCAATATTAAATTGTATCTATTATTTTTAAGTACTTTTTCTTTTAATTAAATGTTTCATTTTTAATTTGTTAATTCAGTAATTTATTTTTCTTTATCAACAGAATAAGTTTGACTATAATAACTAACATACAATTAAATATAACAATTATAACCAAATGTTCACAGAAAAACAAAATAAATATTGTGAAAGATAAGAAAGTTAAAGTAGTTTAGACTACTAATATATAAGGGTTGTTAAAAGGAAAAGACAGCGTAATATTCAACAAGTACGATATTAACAGATGTGAATATTATTAATTCAATTGTGGTTTCATTTTTTTGTCTTTTGAGTTTTTGAAGGACTTTTTAGTTTTTGGCAATAAGCACTTTGTGTAAAGCTAAGTTGACAAAAAAAGAGAGCTGCAAATGTGGCTTCTAGTGAGGAAACATGTACAATGCTTAAAATATTATTTAACAAAATAAAGAAGATCCGATATTTAATTACAAGTCCCTATATAATAGTCCGAGTCTTTGGATTCGTATCTTCTTTTAAATTTCCTAAAATCTTCTTTAATTGTTTTTGCCACATTTGATAAACATGTATGTATAATTTGGGTTCGTATGGTGTGCTGCCTTTTAGATGGGGCTAAAAAGTAAGAAACATGAAAAGTTCACACCTTCGATATTATTTCCACTCTACACGTGGAATAGTGAAAGGACGTGGAACACGCGCTACGATTAAGCGCGTGAAGAAAGGCGACGCAATTGAAGGAGTCTGTAGTCAGCGAAGGCAATGGGTCACCGGGAACAGTCAGTCACCGGTCGCTTGGTGTGAAGAATGAAGGAAGAGAAGGCAGTCAAAGATTCAAACGATATAAAGGTTAAAAAGATTATGATTTTAAATAAAAAATATATTTTGGGAGTATTAGGCAGCCACGTGTACATACTGGCACCGGCATTTGACCGTCGCCGACACATGACTGGCACGTGCTAGACTGTCCTCTCTTCTTCTTCTTCCCTCACTACTGCTTCAGGAACCTTAATAAATTAGTCATATGTGAATTTTGAATTCCTAGTCAAGAGGCAATAATATAGATACCCTACATTTTTTAAGTATAAAGGTATAATTTGAAACACACAAAAATCAAATACTTGTATAGCTAATTTGCAATAACATGCATAAATAAATAAAAAAATCGTTACATTTGGGACTTTGAATGACGTAGCTATGTGGAGTGGATCGTTATGCTGACGGGTAAGTGAGATCATCGTTACGCTGCACCGATTTTTCTTTTTCACATTACAACTTTCTCTTGCCAAGTTTAGTAAAGGAGCATTTAAACGCATAAAGTATCCTAAGGAAAAGATGGTCAAACCTATATTATTAAATGCTACATTATGTAAATTAAGATAACGCTTTGTACACAGTCAGAAACTTTTTTTTTTTTAAATAATCGTACAATTTCATTTGCGATAATTGTGGGGGGGAACCTAATGGTAGAGATTGTTTTTTTTTTTTCTTTTTTTCTTTGATATCTAGCTAGAAATCGTTTTCATCCAGGAAATGGACAGAAACATGAAATGAGGAAATATAATAGACATATAAATGCCTAACCGACATGACAAATGAGAAGGGAACATATATACATCAACTTTAGTGTGGTCAAAGTAAAACATTTCACTAAAAATGTGGCAAGCTAAAAACAAAAAAAAACTTGGATGAATTCGTTTAAACAGCACACAGTCGATATTTTATGGTGAAGTGGAAGTGGTTTTGCCCACAATCCAATTCTTTGGTAGGTGAAAGGTTCAAGTCATTCTCTTTGAAATCGTTTTTTTGTTGGTGTCACTCACACGGTCACACCTAAGTGTTCGGATTACGTGTACGTACTTTGTATTACGTTTGATCATCTCTATATAATATCTACAATGTTATGGATGGCCCGACATACATAAGTACATGCATATATAGTCACTGTGATATATACTCATATATCTTAATTAATTATATTTTTCTTCTAAATGACTATGCTTAGGTGTATAATGATTCTTTATCAATGAAAAGAGAGTAAAATCATACTAATATTTTTCTTTTGCCAAAAAGTTAAAACGATAATCCCCCATGTTTTTATAACCCTTTTTGGTGAAAACGAAAATATGATGAAAAACGTTTTCGTGTAAAGCAATACCATCTAGTAATCTTTTGTCGACATTAAAAAGAGCGAATAATTCTCGATGAACCAAAAGAGACATTAACTATTCTTACTTACCAAAAATATCAGTTCCTATTTAACTTTCGTTCGGTAGAGAAACTCAATTATTATTGGATACTAGTGTTTTACCCACGCTACGCGTATGTTGTATAATTATATTGTAGTTTTGTAAAAGGTTGTCAATTAATTTTGTGTTTAATATTGTGAAATTATAGAGTAGTATATTTGCATATGATTCTTAGATTTAATCGAGCGAAGTAAGTATCAGAAGGATGTATATATATGTGAAAAGATGATCGAAATGTTTGTATAATAATTTGAAAGTAGATTAATATACCTTTAACTTAGTTAAACTTTTTTTTAAGAGTTAATGCATGTTTTTGCAAATATGAAGGGTAAAGTTTAACATTTTTGTATAATAATTTGTTGTGTAATTTTGTTATATTTTTTGTTTATGTAAATAGTATCCACATGAACTATATATTATATTAGAAATCTATTGTCTAAATTTGGACATCTTATGTTATAATGTCATTTCTTTAGTGAACACCATGAGTATTTTTTTATATTTTCAAAAACATTTTGCATAAGCTTCCCTTCCGCTTGATGATTTTAAAAAGAAAAATTTAATCTTTACTCCATTTTTGTTTCATATTGTATCTTAGGATTTTGTTTTTAATTTTCATATAGTATGCATTTCTCTACTTATCAATTTTTTAATATTCAGTATGTACATAGATGTTTTATAATTAGTTCATATATTCAACGAAGAAAACAAATGGCAATTAATAATAAACTTCTTTATTATATGAGTTCTTTATTAATTGATATAACATTTGTTTGATAGTTTAGCTAGCTCAATCATTTGCCAATATTGGTGAAGAGTGTGAAATTTATCGTTATATGTTATTTGAAAAAAAATCTTTTCAGTTTTATGTTTCATGAAACTTTGCAAATGAAAATTAAGAAACGGTGAGTAACTGTCTTTAATCACCGGTTCTTTAGTTAGGTTTTTACTTCAGTTTTTCGACAATGTCGGATTACAACGAACAATATGGAACTCTATACTAGCTTTAGAAACTTGAAATCTGTTATAAGTCAAAAAGTTACAATTGTATAAATTAATTTTCTCTAGACGAAAGAAAACTAAGTCGCTCCTTAAGTTTTACTTTTGACGATAAAGACGTTCTCCAGTTCCAACAATACTATGATTCAGACTCATGCTACTCGATTCATATTATAAATATAAATGCAAAACAGTTGTGAGATTGTATTTTTATGTTGCTTACAACAATCTCAAGCATGAGACATATTAGACTTCATTTGTGATAGAGTTGTGTATTATTTATACCATATGTGGCTCATCGCTATGTCTTTTTTTTTTTACATCCTCATTGCTATGTCTTTTGGATTTCTAAATGTTTATGCTCCACTTATTTAAGTTTTATTGTTTATCACCAGTTTGGTTGTCATTAATTAATAAGAAAGATTTGTGTTTGGTAGCGGCTGATTCCGTTTCTGGTGAATCAGAGGCGAGATGATTGGAAACCGAAAAGACGATGACTCCATAAAATAAGCTTTTGTTTAAGTTATATAATTGAGTTTTAGTGTAATTCATTTTCAGTTTTTTTAGCTTTGTTCTTTTTATTGAGAATTTAAGAATTATAAAAGTTTTTTTAGGTAAAATTTGAAGAAATTTTGATTAATAAATTATTTAATGAAATGGTTTTAAATTATTGGTTGGAGAAAATGACATAATAGTTTTGAAATCTACTATTGGTTAATTATTTTTGCTGATGTGGTATATTGTCTAATTCTTATTGATTAGTTTTTTTTATAATTTAACGATGTAACAATTTGTTATATTCTTATTAGTTGACTATTTTTGCCTATGTGGTACCTCTTAGAGAGCAGAAAATTTATTCCTTTTATATAAAGGAGATACACACTAATATAAATTTTCAATCTTCTATTGCATATGGTGGGTATCCGGTTCTCGTACCTATCCACATAAAATGTATTTAGTAGATGTATATAAATAACTAAATACACATTTATAGCTTAAATTAGGCACAAACTGAACGCCGTAATTGGTGCCTAATCGTTTGCGGGTCGTATCCATAAAGCGCCATTTGATTTAGCCTCACATTTACTAAAGTTATTGTTTACTTAGTTAATGTGATTTTTTTTGTTACTTTCCTAATTACCTAAGTTACTCTGTGGACTGACCTGGGAACATTTTTTGGCTATATATACACATATATACACGCGCATACATATAACTGTATCTGTCTGCAGTTGAAATGTCTGACCTATTTTGGGGATATGTGCCTAACTCATAAAGATAGTATTACAAAAATACTACTACTGTTCCAGAAAAAATACATAATTATTATATTTAAATATTAGTAAGAAAATAAAGGAAAAGAGAATGAAATTGTTGACTTTAATTAACCTTTAAAAAGAATAATTGGGGGCAGGTTTGTTGTTTGGTGTGTGGCAGTATTATTAAAATTTTGGTAGTATATATGAATAAAAAGGAATCTCTTGTATTTTCTGTTCTTTCACACACATCCCTCTTTCTGAAAATTTGAGTTGTTGGAGCTGATTAGTTAAAATTTTTCTAATAACATAATCATGTTCACTATGGAAGTAAAAAGAATAGGGAAAATAATTTTTCATTATTGAGATATCCTCCTATGGCTATACATGATGAACTACATTTTTGGCTACCATCCGAATAAAAATTTGTTTAATCGATGAAGCTGATAATTTGACAACATTCTTTAAAAACTCGTTCTAACCATCATATCTAACCATCATACCAAAGTCAACCGATGACATAACCATTTGGCACAAGATCAAACCGTTTAAGAAGAACCCAGAATTTCTCCACATCATCATCTTGGGTAACTTTTACTCTTTTAGTGATATGAATCGAATCCATATGAATCAGTGGATCTTGCTGCTTAACCAATTATGCAAGACAAGACCAAAGACATTATTAAGGTCGGTCCAAATCCGGTTTAAGTAAACCAGAGACTGGACTCCTAGCATTATCATTAGCATCATCAAGCATCGTTTGATCAGGTTGTGATTTGCAACTGTAAACTAAGCTAAATTAAAAAGTTTGCAGAAGATCAAACGTCACTGCCACTATCTAAAAGATCTACAAGAGTAATCTTCCCGTTGCTGCATCGGTCGAGTTTGTCAAACTGTTTGGAGATTGGATTTATGTCCTTATCGGTTATTTTCCCCATCTCCTTCAGTTTGTAAATCACAAACTCCGCTTTACTGTAAACACCCACACACACACACACAAAAACCAGAAGATTTCTCAGATTAGAGCCAGCAAGCAAAGCATATAAACATGTTCTGTATCTAAAACATCACAATGTAGAAGATCACACAAGTAGTTCACAGATCTTCAACTTAGCCTACGAACATAAACTATGTTTTCGCAGAAAAGGATTCAAGAAAAGAAATGCAAAAGATGCAATAACTCAGGAATCTAACACCTTCAAGAATCTAATAAACTTATGACGTATGAATGTTTTTGTTTTCTAAGATCTTTAACACGGACGAAAACGGAAGGACTAACATCAAGAACAAAGCTTTTGGTGTCAAAAATGCATATTTTACATCCGGAGTCACACAAGTAATTCCAAAAATCGGTCCAAGATTCATCGAAATATCAGGTATAAGTTGAGGAAGATGAATATGATGGAAGATGCAGCAGGCCAAACATGCGTTACTACATCTCCCTGTTTATGTTTCTACTAAATGATGAGAACTTTCCTAATCAAGGAGGCGAGTTTAAGCCTAATACTGTATGATCAATCTAACAAATGAACCAAATATGTTTTGACTTCAAAGCATATATATAAATCAAGTACCTCACACATCCATTGTTATCGATATCCGCAGCGAAAAACTGAGACACAGACATGGTCTCACAAAGCACTTTCTTCACCCTTTCTCTGTTCCTCTTATCCACTCTCGCCTCAGCTAAAAACAAAAACGCACGAGCCACGGCTAACGTAGACACAAGCAGCCATATCGCAGCGAAAAGCCTACCGGGCAACGTCTTAAACGCCCTGTCTCCATAACCCACTGTAGTAACCGACATGACCGAGAGATAAAACGAATCCAGCCAGTCGATTTTCTCAATGAAATGCATTATCCCAACACCAACGGCGATGCACAGAACCACAACACCAAGCGCCAAGGCCACTTTCAACCTAATCCTCATCCTACCTTTCTTCACATCGATTATATACGACCTCCCTTTCTCCGGCTCTTCTCTCCGCCTAGCAGAGTCTAACATGTAGCTCTCTTGAAGGTCAAGCACGTAAGAGACCATCCCGCTAAGCAAGATGTCGATGAAACCAAACCCAACGAGCACGAACATGATGGAGAAGAGCTTAGTGACCACACTGTTCGGAGTGATGTCTCCGTAACCAATCGTGCACATTGTCACGATGCAGAAGTATAACCCATCAACGACGGGATGGGTTTGACTCACTACGTAGTGATCACGATTCAGCCAGTAGATGAGCACACCTAAGGAGAGATAGACAACGAGGAGAGCGAAAGCTTGTCTTACGACGGAGCGTGACGAATCGAGATTGTTCTGCTGGCGAATCGGGTGATGAAGATCGTTGATTACGGCCATTGCTGGCGCGGTTTTTGATCGGTGGAGTGCGTGGCCGTACGAGTGGTTCGGATTTCCCTCGAGGTGATGTGGCGGGAGGAGAGGTTCTAGGGTTGAGGAATCGGAGAACGTATCGGCGGCGGCGGCGGAGGCGGAGGCGGAGGCGGAGGGAGAGGACGGTGAGGGTTTCTGAGAGAGGGAATCGAAGTACTGAGACGAATCTCGCGGCGAGAGTGAGAAGGGTCCGAAGATTAAACGGTCTTTGAACTCCGACGGTGTCATCGGCATCGGAATCGGAATCGGAATCGCGACTTCCCCGTCTTCCGGTAAAGGGAATAGAATCGGGGTCGGTTTTCTCATCCTGGGGCTAATCATGTATTGGAGTAATGGGTCTACGTTGTTGTCGTTATAACCGCCACTTCCGTCGTTTGCCATATACTCGCCGGAAAAAGAGTAAAACCGGTGGTGGTTTTACGAATTGATCGGAAAATTGACTCGTGTTTCGGTATATACTCGGCGATTCGAGGGATTGAAGCTGAGAAAGAGGTAAGAGGTGGGACGTAAAGAGTGGAAAAAACCCGAAAAAAGGAAGAAACTTTTTTTTATCAAAATGACCGAAGTAGAAGCAGGCAGAAATGGCGCTTTTCTCAGTTTCTTGTGGCTATTACATTTTAGAGAGAAATCAAAAGGTTTTTTTTTTATTCATCACATTAAATATAATATGATCCTGTCAATAAATATGATCAGCAAAAAATAGTAACATTACATGTTGCTGTTAAACTTATTTTATTGCGAAATATAGGGAATCTTCTTCACTAATAATATTTAGATGATTTTTTTTTCCTATATGACAAAATACACATGCTGACTTGAATTGGATTTCTCGTAAGACCTTTTATTAAGTCTGAATTGAGTTTGACTCCCTGTATTGTTTTAGTAATTATGACAATGTAATGCATAAAATAGCCGTAAATTTGCTCTCTTTGTATTTATGTGTAAAATAGGCTTGAAGGTTGATGAGTTTTAGTTATAAAATGGAGGGGTTAGTAGAAACGGTAAAACATTAAAAACACACTCTGACCGTATTAAGGAAAAAAAAAAGTGTCAACTCTGTTTGACAAAACGGCACGGCGGCTTTTTCTTATTTAATACGAAGATGACTCACTCGATCAAACGGCAAGATGTGTCGTTTTATCAAAAAATCTCACATGACGTGGTTTCCCGGATTAGATAAGTACAGCTCTCAAATTACCTATCCAATTAAAAATATGTGTAGAGACTATTACCAAACATCAACACATGATTAGATGTCCTTTATAGCTTAACGACAAAATTTCATACTTTAATGATTGGATTCACAACTTATGTAGTATTAATCCAACTTTTCTGGTCTCTTTATGATAAGATTCAATGCCAACACATAGGAACGGCATCATGAGCAAGATTGACCAAACCGGTCCACCCATATCCAATCTACGACCGGTCTGGACATAATGATCTTTAAAAGTTTAAAGTGAGTTTGGTCTAAATCTAATACAGAATGTCAAAGAGTCAAAAAGACTGAATTGAGTAAAATTGTAAGAAAACAGAGTTTTTTAGTAATACAGGAAAGTTAGCAAGTAAACAAGCCAGCCATTGAAGGTCTCTCCCAAAACCCCTCATAAGACCTTACCCCAGAACCAACCACAAACACACACAAACACATTTTCACACCTCGGAACCATTCTCCATCGCTTCTCAGGCGCAAGAGATGGAAAGCAAGGGGAAAGAAACAGCAAGGTATGGAGGGAGAGCAGGATTTGATTGATTGCTTTTCTGATCAGTAGTTGTTCGGCCATAGCTGTTGTTGATTCTGTCTAGACGCGTCTCTAGCGTTTTGCTGCTGTTGGTGCTGGTGATGGAGATGCTCTAATGACATTGCAGCTTGTGAATGGTAAGGACTCACGTAGCCATGTCCTCCAAACTGCTGCTGCTGCTGCTGCTGCTGCTGCTGTTGAGATGGCTGCTGCTGCAGTTGTTGTGCTTGACGGAAACCAGGAGGCTGCTGATTCTGATGACCAGGGAAGCTGTAATATCCGCTTCCTGGAACCACACGAGAGTTTGGTTGTTGTCCTTGATGCCATGCTGCTGAGTTCTCGTTCTGCGGATCAAAGCAAAAAGAAAATAAGCTACCGGTTAAGGTTTTGTGAAACAGAGAAACCAACACCGTTCCAAACAAGAATTTGAGTTTCAATTTAGTATAAACCGAACCAAACCAAACCTAGAAATGAAAAGTTTTTGCAAACAGAAATGATGTGAAATCCTCAAGCCGACTAAACCGAATGGAACCATCAAATGCTCACACCTACAAGTCAACATATGAGAAGAGTTTTCTTGGGTTTACCTGCTGCTGAAGTGATAACGCCGCCAAGTGATTGCTGTCCTTAAACTGTGAGTTCAAGACGTCTTCGTATGAGTTTGCAGCGGAGGTAGGATTCAAAGGGAAGTTGTTACTCGACGGTGCGCCACCGCCAAAGCCGTAGGCAGAGGGAGGCGGAACAGGCGGAGCGGTGGCCTGAGTTTTAAACTGAGGAATCATAGCAGCTAAAGACTGGTGGCTACCAGTGGGATACGCTTGTTGGAATCCCGAAGGCATGTAAGGGTTGTAGCTCTGTGGCATGAATGGGTAGCTTATCATATTACCATAATGCCCTAGAGGCATCCCAGGCTGGTGAGAGTATGGGTTTAAGGCAAGGTGTTGAGCAAGAGCTGCTGCTTGTTGTTGTTGTCCTGCACCGGGCATTGCGTTTTGAGGAGAGATGCTCGCAGCTCTTAGTGCCTGCAAAGAAAACTGTGTAAGCAAGCAAGTAATGATACTAACAGGCAAGCTAAGAAAATAGGTTTCTATGGAAGAGAAGATTGTATTTTACTGTACTTACCTCTGCCATGGATATTGCTGGATCGCTAAGTGAAGAGGGAGTGGCAGTGCTGTATCTTGTTTGGAAAGGCGAGTAGTGAAGATCGGCTTCTCTTGCATCTTGAATGCCTGATGGTAACAGGTTGTTTGGTAATGAACTTGTATATCCTTGCTGCTGAAACATTTTATGAAAAAAGAAAAGAAAAACGACATGGTTAACATCTTTTTGAGTGAACTTTTCGATTGTGTTGATGGATTTGGTAAGGCTTCTAGATTATTACCATTGCGTTGGGGAAGGTATCGAGATTCTGCATCTGAGGATTTGTGTCTGATGGAGGGGGATTCATCTGTTGGCTGTTTTCATATCCATAATCTGCAGAAGATGAAAACTTGTACTGCTGATGATCTTCCTGTTGAGGAGGTTCATGTTGCGCCGCTTCTGTCTCAGATTCCGAGGAAGCATGGTAGTTCCGGGCAGTCGAATCGATTTGGTAGGATGATTGTTCATCGGTAGCAGCGTTCCTGAGCTGTTCCTCTTCCTCATCTCCACCGTAGTAGTCAGCGTCGGTGTGTCTGAACGACGAATCGTCCTGCGCTGCTTCTAGTGGTTCCTCAAGGTTCTCATTCACGCCACTAGCTTGTTGGCCAAAGCTACCAAACATTAGGTGAGAGCATTCCCGTGCATGGACTTGCAGGTGGTTTGGGATTATCAGTACAGGTTTGTCTTCTTTAGGTAATGGTTCCTGCTCTTCATCGTTCTCTACAGTAAGTTGCTGTAAACCTGTAGAAACATCTTCGGCTGAAAACAGTTGGAAAAAAGGCAAAAACAGAACTCAGAAACATGGACTTAAGAGGAAGAAAGAGCTAAAAAAAAACGGAGTTTGAAAAACCAATCCTCACCTCCGTTTTCCTCAAAAGCATGTCCCTCCACTTTGTTGTTTTCTTCGTCAGCGTCTCCAGAATCATCATCAAGAAGATTTCTGGTGGATACTGAATCTGCATCAGGAGGTGAGGCGATTGGAGTTTCTTTGGTTTCGGGGACCTCGTCATTAGAACGAGTCTCATTAACATGCTGCGGCTCGCTGAACTGCTCAGCGGATGGTTTAGATTCAGCAGATGGTTTCAAGAGAGACGATGAAGGATGAGAGACATCTTGCTTCTCGATGGAAGGCCATTCATCCTTCACAGGGGCGGCTTTGCTTCCACTCTCTTGATGAGCCTCTGATGGACGAGGCGCAGCGACGTTCTTCTGATGGAGAGGCCTGCCCATTTTCACAATATCAGCCATGGTTCTCTGTCCCGGGTTTGCATTGGCCCAAGCGGATTGATACACAGGAGACGGCACAGAAGACGAAGTAACCGCTGCATCGCTTGGAGCCGTTGGTGGTGCTTTCTTGACTTCAGCGTTTGCATTATGATCAATACTGCAAAGCAAAGAAGATACAGTTTAAGCAAACACACAAAGTAAGTAAGTGAGACAAAACATCAAAAGACGAAGAGATAAGAACCTGTTTGATGGAGGTTGGCGTCCGAGGACACCAGGTGTTGAAGAAGAGCCAGTCCAGTGATTATGACGTGTTCCGTTCTCTCTTCTGTTTGCAGCTACACTTTGAACACTTCCCGCATCTGAAACAATATCCAGTAAATAAGGTTTATACATTTGTTGAATAACCAAAAACCACAACAATCTGTGAAGAAGAAAAAAACAGACATTGCAAAACTTATTAGTTATTACCATTGGAGTTAAATCTGTTTCCGCCACCTCGTGAGGTGTTGTAACCGTCGTTACCGCTGTTTCTAGCTCCGCGATTCGGGATGCTACGTGTCCATGAGTCTGCTGGATCTTTGGTCTGACCAAAAAGACAAAAACAAAAACGAGAATAAGACAAAAAAGGAACTCATCATCATCTGAAACTGTAAGGCGTTAGATTTAAACACTTTTGCAATAACGAACCTCTTTCTTCTTGTCTCGTTTGCTCTTCACCTCGTGAAAAGTATCTGAAAAGTATAAAACGAAACAGCATTATAAGAAACTGAAACTGAACAAGCCGAGAATTAAAAAATCAACATAATTCAATACCAAAGTACAAACATTTAGTGAAGGCACAAAAAAAAAAGGGAGAGAAACTGATTTTTTTATGTTCTTTCCAGAAACAGGTAACAATGAAAACTCAACCAAATCCCAAAAACATTACTATTTCAAGAAACAAAAGGGGAAAGAAAATAACGTTCTGACATTCTCTTACACAAGTTCTAACTTCTTAACATGACAGACAAATTCGTCATAAGCTCAACGAAGTTTTGATTTTTTTAGCTGCTTTTTACCTCAACTAAAACAATTTCCGAAAGCTAAACACCATAATTTTTTTTTTTAAATTAGAGAAAAATCAAAGAAGGCTTGAAGAAAGAAAGAGACGAAACAAAACCTTGAGACAGAAGACGATTAACGGTTTCGTCAGGATCCATATCGCACTCCACGAGCATCGCGTAGATCTCTAAATCAGAACAGTTCACGATCTCCTTCAAACTCTGAACAACCTTTCTCGAAGACGCCGGAATACCCGCGTTCGCGTTACTAACGCCGCCACCGCCTCGACCGCCCATTTTTTTTTCTCTCAATCCGGATTACCGGCAATAAGGGAACAAATCAGATCTGAAAGAAAACTTCTTCGAGTCGCGATTCCTTCTTTCGAGCTCCACAGGTCGCGATTCTACAAACAACAAGGATTCTCGATGTGACGAGGTCTCTATCGCTCTCTATCGCTCTTGGCTTTCGAGTATCGGAGAAAGGGGAAAAAACCCTCTTTTTATGCTATTGCTCTTTGGGTTTGGGGCTAATGGTTTTGGGAAAATGGAAAATATTCGAATTGGAAACTTTTTAATGACAAATGGTAATTTGGAGATAAATATTGCTAATTAACAAATTTTCCTTTGGTAGGTTAATTACCTTTTTTAAATGTCTTTAATACTTTACATTAAAAAATTCAGATTTCTATTAAAGACAAGTTAATGAGTTTGGATAATGATGAAACAGTTTACATATGTACAACAGTTGTTGTCTTGGACTCGATTTAAAAAGGAAAACTAGTAAATTGAGATTTGAATTTTAGATTCCAGAAATGAAGTCCACGCGCTGAAACAAACGCGTGGAGAGAAAGAATGTGAGAGTTTTAAAATTGTTACTAATAATTGACAGGGAAAATGGTCAATTTCAACCTCAATTAAATTCGTAAACCGTGTTATTTTTAACTAAGACTAACATAAAATTTAAATTTACTATCTAAACTACTTAATAAGTGATTTGACTATAATTCAGTTTGTTGACTGATAAAGATATTTGACTCGGATAAATTGACTTGCTATGTTGTCAACAAAATCTGGTTAGTATGAATAGTTGATATATCTCAAAACGACTTGAGAGAAAAATGGCCAATTTCAATTTCAGTTAAATCCATCGTGTCTTTTCTAACCCAAACTAATGAATTGGGCTATTTTCAACCCAAATCAATTTAAAATTCACATTTACTACATAAACTACTTACTAAGTGCTTCTGCTCAATTTGCTCTTTCAGTCTTTGGTTTAAAGTCAGGATCAATCCTAATATTATCCAAAACAGTTTCATAATCACTTTTCCTTTCAATATCTTATTATATCCATCCTTTTGGCACTTGTTTTCATCTTCAAGAAGTTTTCACCATCCATTTTAAACTATGTAAGTATGTATCATTATTTAATCACGAATAGATTTTCTTCAAATTGTTCTGAAGTTTTGCTTTTGCATGCAAAGTGAAGAAAGTAGAAAAAGAAGATGTGTTTTCGTATGAAAAGTGAAGAAAGAAGATGATCGAGACGACGTTGTTTTATGGTTACTCTGACAGAACACCAAAAATGTCATTTTGAGGCATGCCAACCAAACTTCGTTGCCAGCATAGCATGTCTGTTTATCCGAGTCAACTGTTCTTAACAGTCAAATGATACAATTATAGTCAAGATACATACTAAATAGTTTAGATAGTAACTTTGAATTTTAAGTTAGTTCAAGTTGAAAATAGCACGGTTCATTAGTTTAAGTTGGAAAAGGTACAACGAGTTTAGTTGATGTTGAAATTCATCTTTTTCCTTAAAATGGCAGCGTTTTGAGATATGTCAACCAAACTTTATTGTGAGTATGGTAAAACTGTTTATTCAAGTCATATGTCTTTAACAATCAACTGACAGAATTATAGTTAAAGTACTAAGTAGTTTATATAGTAACTTTGAATTTTAGGTTGGTTATAGTTAAAAATGATATGTTTTATTAATTTAAGTTGGGAAAAAACATGACATGTTAGGTTAAAATTGATCATTTTTTCAATAATTGACTAATGGGAGTGTTTGGATAAGGATGTCATTGTGGGCCTACTTAGAAAATACACCTAGCATGGGTCTAAAGCCCATTAAACTAAAGCCTTTGAGAATCTGTAGTATTAGATAGAGCGAAAAGGATGAAAGTAATAATTAAAAAAGAAAGTTTATTATCGGTGGTCACCTGACACTCTGTACGTGTGGGAGAGAATGAAAGCAGAGTAGAAAAACTGAAAAAGCATTTGAAGCAAGAAAAACAAAACGTGAATGGAAAGAGAGAAAGAAAGAATCTGAGAGTTAAAAAGAAAAAGAAAAAACGAATCCCATATATAAAAACCAGACCTTTTTTTCCTCCTCTTTCATTCTCCTGCAAATGATAAAAGAATAATCTTCGTCTTCTTCTTCCTCTTCTCTGATCGGAAACTCACTCCTCACTCTCCAGTTATGGGATTCGAGAGCTCTTCATCAGCTGTAAGCAACATGAAACCTCTTGGCAGCGATTCAAGACCTCAAAAATCCAATACTGTTCAATACTCCGTCGATGCTGGCCTCTTCGCTGATTTCGATCAGTCCATTTACTCCGGTAAGTCTTTTAACTACTCCAAATCTGTGATTTCGCCGCAGAACAACGTTCCTGATGAAAACATCACTGCTTATTTGTCTAACATCCAAAGAGGCGGCCTTGTTCAGCCCTTTGGGTGTTTGATTGCTGTGGAAGAGCCTAGTTTTAGGATACTTGGTGTTAGTGAGAACTGTGTTGAGTTTCTAGGTCTATCTCTTGCTTCGAGCTCTCATTCCAGCGAGTTTAAGATCAAGGGTTTGATTGGAATCGACGCCAGGACGCTTTTCACACCTCCTTCAGGAGCTTCTTTGGCTAAAGCTGCTTCCTTTACTGAGATTTCATTGTTGAATCCGGTTTTGGTCCATTCTAGGACGACCCAGATGCCGTTTTACGCTATACTTCACAGGATCGATGCAGGGATTGTGATTGATTTGGAGCCTGCTAAATCTGGTGACCCGGCCTTGACTCTTGCCGGTGCAGTTCAGTCTCAGAAGCTAGCTGTTAGGGCCATTTCTAGGCTGCAGTCACTTCCCGGGGGAGACATTGGTGCTTTGTGTGACACTGTTGTGGAAGATGTTCAGAGACTTACCGGTTATGACCGTGTTATGGTCTATCAGTTTCATGAAGATGATCATGGTGATGTTGTTTCCGAGATCAGAAGATCTGATCTAGAGCCTTACTTGGGTTTACATTATCCTGCAACAGATATTCCTCAGGCTGCTCGGTTCTTGTTCAAACAGAACCGTGTACGGATAATTTGTGATTGCAATGCAACTCCGGTCAAGGTTGTTCAGAGTGAGCAGCTCAAGAGACCACTTTGTTTAGTCAATTCTACACTAAGATCTCCTCATAGCTGCCACACGCAGTATATGGCTAATATGGGCTCTATCGCTTCTCTTGTACTCGCAATTGTGACCAAGACCAAAACTGCAAGCAAGCTTTGGGGATTAGTCGTGGGTCACCATTGTTCTCCTAGATACGTTCTGTTCCCGTTACGGTATGCTTGTGAGTTTCTGATGCAAGCATTTGGGCTTCAGCTTCAAATGGAGCTTCAATTAGCTTCACAGTTAGCCGAGAAGAAGGCTATGCAGACGCAGACCTTATTGTGCGATATGCTTCTCCGCGATACTGTTTCCGCTATTGTGACACAGTCCCCAGGTATTATGGACCTTGTGAAGTGCGATGGAACCGCTTTATATTACAAGGGGAAATGTTGGTTGGTCGGTGTTACTCCTAATGAGTCACAAGTCAAAAACTTGGTGAACTGGCTCGTGGAGAATCATGGTGATGACTCGACGGGTTTAACCACTGATAGCTTGGTGGATGCAGGATATCCTGGTGCCGTCTCACTTGGAGATGCGGTTTGTGGTGTGGCTGCCGCGGGAATCTCTTCGAAAGACTACTTGATCTGGTTCAGGTCTAATACTGCAAGTGCAATCAAATGGGGAGGAGCTAAACATCATCCAAAGGATAAAGATGATACAGGGAGAATGCATCCGAGGTCATCGTTCAAAGCGTTTCTTGAAGTTGCCAAGAGCAGGAGCTTGCCGTGGGAAAACTCTGAGATTGATGCTATTCATTCCTTGAGGGTTATAATAAGAGAGTCGTTTACAAGCTCTAGGCCGGTATTGTCTGGTAATGTTGTGGCGAGAGATGCAAATGAGCTCACTTCTTTTGTGTGTGAAATGGTTAGGGTGATTGAAACCGCGACTGCGCCTATCTTTGGGGTTGATTCTTTTGGATGTATCAATGGTTGGAACAGTAAACTCGCTGAAATGACGTGATTGCAAGCTAGTGAAGCCATGGGAAAGTCACTTGCCGATGAGATCGTTCAAGAGGAATCACGCGCAGCTCTTGAAAGTCTCTTATGCAAAGCCTTACAAGGTTATAAGATGTTCTGGATACAAGATCCATGTTATGCTCTTGGAATGAGAGTTATCAGACTAACAAAAACATTGGTTTGTTGTGTTATTCAGGTGAGGAGGAGAAAAACGTAATGCTTAAACTGAAAAAGTTTGGTCACAGCGATCATCAGGATCCTTCTTCTGATGTGTGTGTTCTCGTTAACTCCTGCACGAGCCGGGACTATACAGAGAAAATCGTCGGTGTCTGCTTCGTTGGTCAAGACGTCACTAGTGAGAAAGCAATAACAGATAGATTCATCAGGTTGCAAGGAGACTACAAGACTATAGTCCAGAGCTTAAACCCGTTGATTCCACCGATATTCGCCTCGGATGAGAATGCTTGTTGTTCTGAGTGGAACGCAGCCATGGAAAAGCTTACCGGATGGTCAAAGCACGAGGTGATTGGGAAAATGCTACCCGGTGAAGTTTTTGGAGTTTTCTGTAAAGTGAAAAGCCAAGATTCGCTCACAAAGTTCTTGATCTCTCTGTACCAAGGAATTGCTGGTTATGATGTTCCAGAGTGCTCACTGGTTGGGTTCTTTAACAAGGAAGGGAAGTACATAGAGGCATCCTTAACCGCGAACAAGAGTACAAACGCCGAAGAGAAAGTCATCGGATGTTTCTTCTTCTTGCAGATTATCAATGAAGTTTCGGGTTTGAGCTGCCCAGAACTGAAAGAGAGCGCTCAAAGCCTTGATGAATTAACTTACATAAGGCAAGAAATCAAGAATCCTCTCAACGGGGTCCGATTTGCACATAAACTTCTTGAATCCTCTGAGATTTCAGAGAGCCAAAGGCAGTTTCTTGAAACTAGCGATGCTTGCGAGAAGCAGATTGCGACAATAATCGAAGACACAGACTTGAAAAGCATAGAAGAAGGGTAAAACCATTATACAGTTTTTTTAAATCTTCATCTACTGTTGTTTTTACATTTTTGAGTCTGAATACCAAATGTTTTCTCTTGAAAATCAGCAAGTTGCAATTGGAAACAGAGGAGTTTCGACTTGAAAGCATCTTGGACACAATCATTAGCCAAGTGATGATTATGTTGAGAGAGAGGAACTCACAACTCAGGGTTGAAGTCTCCGAGGAGCTAAAAGCTCTGCCTCTCTATGGTGACAAAGTAAAGCTTCAGCTCATTCTTGCTGATCTTCTGCGCAACACTGTGAATCATGCCCCGTTTCCAGATAGTTGGGTAGGAATCAACATCTCAACAGGCCACAAGCTTGCACGCGACAAAGATCGCTATATCCATCTACAGTTCAGGTAAACAACTGGAGTAGATTCTGAATGTTTCCAACTAAACAATGCAGCTGTTTTGTTGAGTGGATCTTGACTAAATGTTCGATGTTGTGTTGCGGTAGGATGATACATCCTGGAAAAGGACTTCCTTCAGAGATGCTAAGTGACATGTTTGAGACTCGAGATGGATGGTTGACGCCTGATGGGTTAGGACTCAAACTTTCACGGAAACTGCTGGAGCAGATGAATGGCAGTGTGAGTTACATCCGAGAAGAGGAACGTTGTTTCTTTCAAGTGGATCTTCAAGTCAAGACAAGGTTAGGTGTTGAGACCAGCGTAACAGGGGCTGCTTCAAGCATTAAGTAGAAGTTTTGAGTTAGACGGCATATAAATTTGATAAGATTTGGACGTTTTACGTTCTGAATGTAAACAAATGTATCATATCATCAGTCAAACAAAGTTTCCATGATTTATTATCAATAAAATTAACCATCACTGTGTACATCAAGTTACTTGTCTGGATCCCACCTGAATCCAGAAATCACAAAAGCCTTTAAGGACACTGTTTCAATTCCTAACTCTAAAGTAAACCGTAAAAACTAAAAAACTGCTATGTAGTGTTTTGACTGCTTCTGTTCATTTTCATTATCATCATCATCTCATCCAAGAAACCGTATATTTACGTTTTAACTAGAGGAAATAAGTGAATCCATCTTCAATGAGTGCTCTGGCTGGCAAGAGGATGAGCAGCTGTCGAATCTGATGAATTCAGCTGCGAGTGCTCCAGGATGATCTAGTCAGATATAAATGAATGAGTCAACAATTTCATCAGCTAAAACACAGAACGTGTGCCTGTTGTAAGAGATTGTTTACCGGATAACTAGATTCTGGTCCATCAAAGACAATAGGGTGGCATCGCCTGTCCTCGTTCATCAAGCTTGAGTTCTGGAAATGAGCAATGAGTGCGGTTTTACCTTGGATCCGTGCATAAGCCAAGGAAGCAACTTTCTCGCTGTTGAACTTATCCCATTTTTTCCCACTAAAGGCCTGTGAAACAGATCAGAAGCATAAGGTCATCCTCAACAAAAATTCAATCTCTCAGAAACAACATCAAAGACTCAAATCAGGTTTTGTACCTCGTGCAATGCAATGATGAAAGTAGGAGACACCATATTGATAAATGCATAACCCACATTGCATTTATTCTGCACACACAATGAAAAACACGAAGAGGAGAATTTTAATCACATGATCTCTCAGAGATTCAGCAGGTAACCAAGATTGTGTTTTACCTTGAAATCAATAGGCAGATAGAGAAAATCATAAGTTCCTCTGTTTGTCTCGTCGATGGCAGCTAACAGCATCTTCCGGGTATACCTAATAACAAGGAAATATATCAGTTCTTTCCGATCCCACAACAGTAAAGTGACCGGTTCATACCAAAGTCAAAAGAGAACTCTTACTTATTAGGGATGTTTTTAATCATCAAGGTTGTCCGTAAATCTTCACCGCTTGTTATCTTACTCAAGTCAAGCTGAAACTGTTTCTTGCTGTCTACTTGATTAATGTTACTACTATCAAACTGTTGGCTCCTTCCATCCTCCAATGGACCGTCAATGGAACCCCTCGTTGCAACAGGCCTTGGGTAAGAGCCATTACCCATAAACAACTGACTTTGTCTTGGGGAAGACAGCATTTTGAAACTTGGGGATCCAGTTTCACGCATGTTTCTTGGAATGTTCACATTACCGCTTGCTCCTCGGAAAGCCGCTGAACTCATTGATGAAGTTTCAGAGGACCTTGGGAAGAATCCAGATGGGGCAGATCCGACATGGTGGAGGGACCCGTTTTGAGCCGAGTAAGGAGACCTGTGAGCTGTTCTGTTCGAAAAGAATGGATTCACAGTCCATGCTGACGAACCAGGGCTTCCCCACAGAAACTCTGATCCAGACAATGTTTCCACGTGACCCGGGTTTGAGTTCAAAGAACCAAACGAGGAAGCAGATCCAAACGACTGCGTCTGCGGAAAGGCAGAAGCTCTGTGGCTTGCATTAGTATAGCTGCTGCTTGAAAACAGGTGATCCAAGTGGCTGGTGTGGCTGGTCCTTCTTCCTTGGTCATTGCTCACCGGTGCAGCTTTTGTCGGGTTTCCTCCTTGAGAATGCAGAACCGAAGAGAGTTCTTGAAAACGCATGTTTGTTGTTGGGCTCAAGCTCCCAAATCTTGGAGACTTGCTGAAACTTTGCAGAGGATTGTGATCAATAGGGCTGTTACACCAATAACTCCCTACAGGAGAACTGGCTAAAGGCGAATCGACATGACTCAGGAAGCTGCGGGAATCATCTTGCTCGAATTCCGGATTCAGTTGCATAATCATGCTGCAAAAATCAAAACCTAAAGTTAATTTCTTCAAAGTCAGTTTCGTTAACTGGTATCACTGAGAACACTGCTCACTTTCGACGAGCACCACCGGGACGGCTATGTTCAAGCTTTATACGCTTTCCAGCAATTTCAGTCCTGTTCAAAGCTTTGAGAGCTGCATCAGCTGATCTAACGTCAAAAAATTCAACAAATTTGTGATGCCTCTTATTTGGTGTTTCCCTTATCTGCTTTGTCAGAACAAATAACTTACACAAACGTTAACCACTATGCAGGTCTTCAGAGAGAAAGTAAAAAATCAAACAAACACAGAACACAAAGAAAAACGCATCACCTCCTTGATCTCGCCATAAACTCCAAATATATTCTCGAGGTCTTTGTTAGTAACTGATGGAGCCAAGTTGAAAACTACAAGAGTTCCTTGATTAACATCTTTGTCGGATGGATTATCCTACAAAATGAAAGAAGAATCATATACCAACAAGAGAATTTCAGAATAATGATAAATAAAAGAGAGTGAGCAAGAGTATATCAAACCTTGGGGATTGAGAAATGTATATCAAGCTTCCTACGTTTCAGAAGCTTGCTTTGTAAAGCTCGCATAGCTGCTCTAGAAGCACGGATATCGTAATAAGAGATCATTACAAAACCTCTATGCTTGCACGCTGTATACAGAGTTCGGATATCTCCATATTGCTGCCACGAACAAAGATTCAATCTTTCAGCATCTAAAACATTTGATTCATGGAATACAAAAAGGGAAGTTACCTCAAAAAGAGCTTTCAATTCCAAATCATCGACGTTACTATTGATATTCCGAACAAACAGAGTCCTTGAAGGATGTTCACCATAAGGATGTTCGCCAGCGACCGATCCAACTCCATTTTGGAAAACGCTTTGAAGCATGCCATTGTCAACGTTGGAATCAGCAAAATCCAATCTTGAGAAGCCCTTAGTTAAGTCAGTCTCTAATTCAAGACCTCCTCCACTACCGAACAGATCATAATCTTCTGAGTCATCCAATGTAGCTGGCAATGAAGTTAAGTTTAAATCATCCATTAGACCAGCCAAGAGCTGTTCCTCATCATCAGGAAGCAAGCTTTCGAATGGATGTATGTCACGATCATCATCGAGCATATTGTCAATGACTCCATTGAAAGCAATTTCATCAACAGGCTGATGGTAGTTCTCGCTAGGATTGACTGCAAGAGATAACGATAAGAAACATTAATGCAAATGTATGACAGTTTTTAAAAGGCGATTTAGGCTACTCGGAGAACAGTTTTGGGGGTAGCATACAGTTATGGTGAGGGAGAAGAGGTAGAGAGCTGGAGAAGAGGAAGGCATCACTTGAAGCATGGACATTGTTAGGTCTCGAGGAAGCTCCATTTGGGATATTCATTGCGATGATATCAAATGAAACCACCTGCACTTTGTATTAGTTCAGCTTCTTCTTCGCAACAACAAAGAAAGATATGTTTTTTTTCTTCCAAAACCTGATGAATTCAGTTGTCCTGGTTGGTTAGATTAGAGATGAGGAAGAAAATTTCAGTGCACCAAGAAATCAAATTTTCTATTTTGATGTTTAGATACAGTTTTCAGGAACAGGGGATGACAAAATCCAGTAGAAATTTGAGAAGCAACAAGGAGTGAGTCAATCTCTGTAAACCCTAAACTTTGACTCTTCTGAGTTTAAACACTAATCAAAATCTAATTTGGGATAAATCATCATCAACATCATCATCATCATCATCATCATCATCATCATCAGATACGTTGCCACCAAGGCCTATACACACATTTAGCTAATTCAGGAGAAATCGAACCGGAACAATCAAAGGCAAAAGTAAACGGAACTTGGAAAACAGAACAAACAAAAGCCCTAATTTCAATCTCCAAGAAGCTTAACAGTGATCATCCAACTGTTTTCAGATTAAAAGAAACCAACTTTCTACTTCACCCATCAGTTTTTGCTATCAGAATCACGAAGAAACTAATTTCCGCACCTAGAATATCAAATTTATTTAAAAATCAAAACTTTTTCGAAAAACTCAGAACCTAAAATATCGAAACTTTCAGCAGAGGAAGAGTAGAAGACAATGGAGGAAAAGAAATGAGAAACCTTACGGACTTTGTTTTGTTTTGTTTTGTTTGTTTCTCTCACGATCACACGTACCCAAACGCTTTCTCTCTCCCTATGTCCCTGTATATATATATATATACAATTTGTAAAACGGAATATGATTTTTATTCTCGATTTTTAGATTTTCTTTTCAAAGCATTAAAGGAGAATCTTAAATTGGATGGAGAGAGAGATAATGAGCCGATGAACGGCGAATGATTGAGTCACAATTCACAAAGGACCAAGTGGAGGAAAAAATTCAACTCCATTTAACTTCTTTTTGGAGTCCGACAACATTTATCTGCTTAATTGCATTTTTTTTAACTTGATAAATAAATGTAGTCATAATTTGTATTAATGTGGTCATAATTTTGTAGAACTGTTCGCACTTGATTTTTGAAATGGAGTTATCAAGTTTTTCATAAGCACAAAACTAGATAATTTAGACTAGAATTGGTTAAAAGAGCTGACAATTTAAAAACTCACACAGTTCAACAAATTTTATATAATCATCTCATATTATTATTACATAGGAGGGTCGCGACAATAACAATGGTTTTTAGTCCAAGTATAAACTCCTTGGCCTAGTGACTTGCAATGCTCAAAGCAAGCTTTCTGGTCGAACTTAGCAAGAGGGAGAACCACATGTCTTTCGTTAATGGCTACACAATGGTTTTGGACACACTTGAGCTTTTCTTGTTTTCGTTCAATACAATCAGAGTCCTTTGTGCAAGACTGAAGTGCCAAAATCTGAACACCTGTGATATTTAATTAATATGTTATTAATGATGATGATGTATAATACCCGATGATTGATGATGACGGTATTGATGAACGCAACTAAACAAACGATTGGTGTATAATACAGATGATTGATGATGACTATTGATGAATGCAACTAAAGAAACGATTAAAACATCTTACATGTTGATAATAGTATAAGACCGATGAATATCAAACATGTTTTCTCCATTTTTCTTGAATAAGTTTGTATTTTCTTTTGCTGTTTTGAGTTGTTTGTATGACTAAAGTTGAAGATCCGGAGACTATTTATAGTGGTAAGAATGTTTTATTAAGGAATATAATCTGCAAACAATTAATTTCTAGTGTATATTTTTTCTAGCCATTGTTGACATTAATTTTATACTTATTTTTTTGTTCACAAAATTGTAATTTATCACTGGATTTACTCGTCATTTACAGTAGTAACCTAGCTTGAAATATCCAAATTTTGATGGTACAAGAGCATCTCTAATGTATATTTCCATTTTTTTTACTTTAAAATAGAGTGATTTTAAAAATAGGATTGAGTTTTTTTCCAATGTATATCTTCATTTTTTACTTCAAAATAATATTCTAAATAGATTCTATTTCTATTTTATTACTAATACCTTTTATTTCTAAAATTGACAATTAATCCATTTATTTGTTACTTATCTTAATTTCATCATTTGTTATCTAATTTTAAATTTATTATACTTTTCAATCTTTTTGAATAAAAATTATAGTGTTCAAATATTTATAATATCTATTTTATATTGTTTACAAATACTCAATGGTATAAAATAAAATTAGTTAATATTTAAATAAATTAGTTTGCAGATTAAAAATTTCAATTCTAAAATAGAGTTGAATGTAGGTTTGCAAATATAAAATAGAGTTGATGTAGGTTTGCAAAGAACTAGTTTATACAGAATTCTAAAACAGAATTTCCAATGTATATCTCTGAAATTTATTTCTAAAATTTACAAATTAATCCATTTATTTTGTTACTTATCTTAATTTCAGTATTTATTAACTATTTTTAAATTTACTAGAGGTTAGAATGTGCTACGCGCGAATTAATCTTATATATAAATTAATGTTATTTTGATTAAAAAACTATTTTTTTGTAAGAAATATGACTGTTTTCAATCTAATAATAATTCTAATATTTTTATCTATTATTTGAAAATTATTTTTGGAAGTCCAATATTAACATTCTGATATTATTGTGAAAGCATAGAAATAATGTAGTAATTCTCTGTTGTTTTACTTAATATTCTGAATTCTTTGATGTCGTTAAAAAATGTTAGCCATACACTTTATGATTTTACTATATTTTGAGCTTTTGAAGTTCTTTATTTTTTTTATAGTTGTGATATTTATGTAGTATTAAAACCATTAACGAATCAAAAAACATTGTTAAAACTAGTTGTCAAATAAGTACACTAAATCTAATATTTCGTTTATGAACTAATTATTTTATGTTGTCTTTGTATGATTTACATATATGTACAAGTTTCTTTACTGTGTACACATTCTATTATATAAAAAACTGCTTTGATGTTTTTTATTATGCTCATAAAATACACTCTTTCAGAACTAAATGACACCTTCATTCACTTTGCTCATTCATGGAGCTTACTAATTATTACGGAGAACATAATAACGACACTCTCCATAATTTTCCATATTAGGTTTGTTCATAGTTTTGATGTAGTTATCAACTATTGTATTGTTTGCTAACGGTGGACAGAGCATCCAGCCAAGGTACTCTCCCTTAAACTTGACAACATATATTGTTTCTACTACAACAGAAAATCATTATGTAATTAAACTGAAGCAAAAGAGTTGAAAAGGACCTAACCTAGTGCTAATCAGAATAAGAAAATGTGAAGTTTACATAGATTCATATATGTTGTTACACTGATGTTAGAGGGGAAATGAGTACATTTTTTAAAAAGGCCTTCCCTTGCAATAACCTAAGCCCGTCAAGATCAGGAAGACCACACCGACCTAGTTCGGATTAAAGGAAACTCTTTGGAGATAACCCTTGAAGATCGGAAACATCGGACTAACTCAAAAGATAAATGAGAATTTCCTTATTCCTCGGAGAATAAAGGATATTTCCATATCATAGATATGAAAATATTCACAGAAGACAAAAGGAAAAAGAGTTCGGAGCAACCGACCTCCTATCCCTATAAATACAGAGACCTCGAAATCTGGAAGGACAACTCATACATTCTAGAGAGCAGCAAAGCTAAAACCAGAGACTCTAACGCTTTCTAGTTTACTTCGCAAGCATTCTTTTCACTTCGGCATAACCTCTCGGTTATCCCATTCTTTTGTAATTGCTTCGCTCTATTGTTAATAATAAAAGACTTTATTCTCTGAAACCTACAAGTGTTAATCAAAACCCTAGTGGTAATTTTCTGGTTCAACAGTTGGCGCCGTCTGTGGGGACTAGGAAAATAAATTCTTAAAAACTAAAGCAAGAAAAGCCGAAGCGATGAGCCTCCCAGTCGATAATAGCGATCTCATCCGCAACGACGATGACACCACTCACACCGAGACATCCGCTCTCGGCGAACGTACAAACGTCACTACCGCGAATCCACCCGCGGGAGCGCCCCCAGCTCCCCTATAGGTCGCTGACCTCGCAACAGCTATCCAGGCTGCCATGCTGCCACTCACGCAAGACTTGGTGTCCAAACTAGACACCCTCCAGGCCCAACAAGCCAAGTATGATGAGCAACTCAGCGCCTTCGCAGCTGCGACCACTGCGAGATCAGAGCCAATCGGACGACGTTTGATCTTCGAGACACCGGAGCAAAACAACATCAGGGGCACAACGGCGGACAATGAGGAGCCATCTGGCGAACTGAATTCCGAAATCGCAAGGCTTCACCAACGAATAAACGCGATCGGATCCCAAGTCCATCGGGCTACCAGCTCGGCACCGGAGATCTCAGCCATTCTCTCCGATGCCGAACGCAACCCATTCGCCCCGCGGATCACCGATGTACAACTCGGCGAGGCGATAAAACTGAAGCTCCCATACTACAACGGGATGGAAGATCCCAACCTATGGCTGACCGGATTCAACGTCGCCATGAAGATGCAACGATTCGAGACCGACCTCAAACGCGAAGCCAACCACTGCCAAACCTTTGTAGAACATCTCAACAAGGATGCTTTGAGGCGGTTCTCAAACCTACCTCCAGCCTCGATCAAATCTTTCAAAGATCTGACCCACGCCTTCATAAATCATTATTCCATGTTCATCACGAAGAGGACGGTCAACATGTTTACTCTAGTACAAGAACGTGACCAACCACTCCGTGAATTCATCGAGAAATTTAAGAATGCCGCCGCAGCATATGGGCAAATCCCGCAAGCTTTGGCCATCGAGGCACTCATCAACAGCCTATGGTACGAATCCCCGCTCAAGAAAGATCTGCATAAAAACCCGAAGGAAACCATAGAAGACGCTCTCTACCTAGCCCAAATCTTCATACGAATGGAGGAAGAAAAAATTTTCTACGCTAAAAAATATGGCGTAACGAATGCTTCAAAATATAAGGAGTCTGCAACCAAAAGCAAGCTGTCCTCCCATGCCGTTATCATATCTAGAGAAAAGCTCTGGAACCAGTGGACCCTGGAATATCCCCCAAGAAGCATTAAAGAGAATCTTAAACTGGATGGAGAGAGAGATAATGAGCCGATGAACGGCGAATGATTGAGTCACAAAGGACCAAGTGGAGGAAAAAATATCAACTCCATTTAACTTCTTTTTGGAGTCCGACAACATTTATCTGCTTAATTGTTTTTTTTTAACTTGATAAATAAATGTGGTCATAATTTGTATTAATGACTTAATGTGGTCATAATTTTGTAGAACTGTTCGCACTTGATTTTTGAAATGGAGTTTCAAGTTTTTCATAAGCACAAAACTAGATAATTTAGACTAGAAATGGTTAAAAGAGCTGGCAGTATAAAGACTCACAAAGTTCAACAAATTTTATAATCATCTCATATTATTATTACATAGGAGGGTCGCGACAATAACAATGGTTTTTAGTCCAAGTATAAACTCCTTGGCCTAGTGACTTGCAATGCTCAAAGCAAGCTTTCTGATCGTTCTTAGCAAGAGGGAGAACCACATGTCTTTCGTTAATGGCTACACAATGGTTTTGGACACACTTGAGCTTTTCTTGTTTTCGTTCAATACAATCAGAGTCCTTTGTGCAAGACTGAAGTGCCAAAATCTGAACACCTGTGATATTTAATTAATATGTTATTAATGATGATGATGTATAATACCCGATGATTGATGATGACGGTATTGATGAACGCAACTAAACAAACGATTGGTGTATAATACAGATGATTGATGATGACTATTGATGAATGCAACTAAAGAAACGATTAAAACATCT